CTTTAAAATAATAATTAATAATCTAAATACAGTAAGATTGATAACAAAATCTTGATATGAAAACAAGAGTAATGCAAATCACTTTAGAGGCAATTTCATTCTAAAATTTAAACTAAACAGTTTAAACCATCATCGTATGCCGTAATAATACCACCTGTTTTAGACTAATTATTTTTATCAAATTAGAGTCAAAAGTATAAAATGATCGACAATTTAAGATAGTTGAGAAAAGATGTTAACTTAATAGTTGCAATGTATGCATTTCTGGCTAAAATTGTAAAAGCACCAGTATATTTGTTACATATTCATTATTAATTTTACCAAATTTGAAATAAAACAAAAAGTTTTAAGTAAAAAAATCTATATCATCAAGCAGCAATAGTAGTTGAATATAATAAACACATTCTTAGACTAACATTGAAACAATAAAACACCGTCAGCACAAATTTCAGATAGAATAACGGTGTCTGAGAGCAGACTAACTTCTTACCAAACACATACCAGCGGTGGATTCAAAGGAGTGGGGGGGGGGGGAAGAGCAGGCCCTTAAAAAAAATGGTGAAGAAAAGAAAATTGTATTTAAACTCTGAGAGTGCCATTTCCGGCCATCGTGAAATAATCACAAATTGTCTTGCTCCAGCCATGGTGGGGTTAAGAGGGCAGGAACCTCCATCTGTGGATGTCCCTAACAAGGGCCCCCCCCCCCTCCGATTCTGAATCCGCCACTGCATAGATCTGTCAATAGTGATGAGACAAGAAAAATCTATGCTTACTTTTGTCTTTAACTTTAAAATAATAATTAATAATCTAAATACAGTAAGATTGATAACAAAATCTTGATATGAAAACAAGAGTAATGCAAATCACTTTAGAGGCAATTTCATTCTAAAATTTAAACTAAACAGTTTAAACCATCATCGTATGCCGTAATAATACCACCTGTTTTAGACTAATTATTTTTATCAAATTAGAGTCAAAAGTATAAAATGATCGACAATTTAAGATAGTTGAGAAAAGATGTTAACTTAATAGTTGCAATGTATGCATTTCTGGCTAAAATTGTAAAAGCACCAGTATATTTGTTACATATTCATTATTAATTTTACCAAATTTGAAATAAAACAAAAAGTTTTAAGTAAAAAAATCTATATCATCAAGCAGCAATAGTAGTTGAATATAATAAACACATTCTTAGACTAACATTGAAACAATAAAACACCGTCAGCACAAATTTCAGATATTTAACTATACAAAATATTTACATTTTCTCTTGAATTGTGCCTGTCTACAAATATGTTTACGATTCTATTATTTGAATATTTCCATTAGAAGACATGGCAGCGGACAGCAGTAATAAAAAGCAAATACTCTGCAGTATGTTTCAATTCCCACTGCGAATGCTGAATATAATTCACTTAGGCTGCGTAAACAAATCAGATGTTATGCGACCATTCGCCTATTATCCTGACATAGCTTCTTTCGGGTCTTAACTATATATGAAACAAGTAAATTTTTTTATCATTGATATCTCACTTCATTATGAGATATCCAGTAGCTTTTTATTTACAATTAAAAATTTGATTTTAAACAGTAAAGTTTAGGTTAAATATTTATGGTTTGTAGTTGATTTATTATTTTGTAGCAATGATGACACCACAAAATTATTGTGTGCTGATTGGTCAAAATAATTGTTTAATTGTGATGAAAACTTGATTTAATACAGTTAAGTTAGGTTAAATATTTATGGTTTGTAGTTGATAAAAAAATGATGACTTATTTTTTATTTTTAGTGACATAGCAAGGATGACACCACATAATTATTGTGCGATGACTGGTCAAAATAATTGTTTATATTCTATCCTGTTGCCATGTACAGTGGAAACTTAATCAATTTTTATATCATATTGTAATATGTATACCGTAAAACCTTGAATTGAAGCCCTGAGCTTTTGATTTTGTGGGCTTTTTTTTCAGGCCATTTTGCAAAATAATGCAGGGGGAGGGGGGGCTTCTTTCCAAAATGAATGCTGTAAATTTTGGGAATTAGTACTATGAAAAATCACAATAAAAATGATATGTTAATTAGCAGTGTAAATGGACCTTTCCAAAGTGTCAATCAAACTTAACTCCCCAATCAGAATGTGTTATTTAATAGCCAGGAATATGCGAATGTCTCACAAACATGCAAATCTTACGATGAAATTTTTTATGTTTGAAAATGAAGTAATTAATTATATACTTAGAGTCCCTAGTTTGAAGAGGCCTATCATACTATATATTAACAATCTACTCACGTGTAATACCTTATAGAACATGGCACTTATATAATTACATTATATAAACAGAATTCACAGTATCTTATATGATAAAAAAAAAAAGTAATATTGTCATCTATCTACTTCATGTAAATGGCACATGAACAACTGACCTAGGTCAACTGATTGTCTCACACATTTTTAAACATATACCTGAATATTATTTTTACTTGTACAATTACAGTATCATAAACTAACAACTCCATTCAGTAACATACATGGAACGTTGATACCTCATTAGTCTCATACAATGAATCTAAGAAAAGGTAAAAACAAACAGTTTATGAAGGCGATGACATGACAAATTCCTTTCTAAAATTGTTCGACTGCAATCCGAGGTTGTTACTGTATATCCAATAGAGTTTTTAATTATATCAAAACACTAAACTAACTTGATATATCTACTGTAATATTACTGGGTGTTTGGTTCTTGTATTTATTGGATGAGAGGTACTGTATGGTAATACTATGACTTTGGATACATAATCTTCGCTACAGTGAGTGGGTTAGGTGGAAGGGGATGGGGGGTTTAATCTTATTTTCGAATTTAACTACCAAATTTGAAATTTTAGTATATAAATAGGATAAATTTCCTCGTGATTTTTGATCTGGTATGGCAATACAGTGAAAACAGTATAAAGGAAAAATTAAAAAAAAAAGAGAAATACATAAATATAATTGGATTTCTAGCTAGAAGCCCGCTAAGCATGTTTCTAGGAGTAAAGGTTAAAATCCAATGACGTTTGTTCGACGTACTTTGCAAAAATCTTTTCCTGTCATCACAGGCAGATGTACGTATGTAGCCAAAAGCTATCTTGCATCAGGCACACTTCCTGAGTTAAGCACAGTTACTTAATCAGATACTGTAGGCTGTGCTTTACTCACCAATCAAGAATGTTATGCATGTACATATTAAACATAAATATTTATAATAAAATGGGGTAAAGTGTGGGATGTAAGACCATGGTTAGACTAAATATACATTTTTAGAAATTGTTGTTAGGTTTAAGTAGGTCTTTTCTACAACTATTTATCAGGACTTCCAATCAAATGAATAGATAGATAGATAATTTGTGGCAGTTGTATTGCAACAATTTTTAAAAATTTTGAATTTAAAAAAGAAATAATTGAATTATTTAATATACTGCAGATCTATTTTTGATGAATTACCAGAAATATACAAAAACAATCTGCAGCAACAATGTAAATTTGGATTTAATAATCAGTGAATAGACTTAAGTAAATAAATACAAGAGAAAATATTGCATTAGCTTGACTCTGTGTAGTTAGAATATAGAAAAACAACATGTATTTAAAATATCCTGTGTGTATGTGTCTAAAAAA